ATATTTTTTAATTGTTCGTAGCAATCTATAACATATTTTATATATATAATATATTTTCTTTTATTTCATCTGCACCAGGTGCTTTATTTTTTTTTTAAGATTTGAATACTTTTTCAAACTCATCAAATGATAGTTCGACAGATAATTCTTCAGAGCAAATATTTTTATCAATAGGTATTAAAAAATCATAAAATGATGTTTGGTATCGTGGTTTATCCTCCGCCAGCTAATTGCCTTGTAGAGGCCACATTACCAAGGTCTGCAGAGACTTGTTTCGGCTCCCAAGGGAGCGTCAAATCTTGCTCTACAGTCCAAGAGTAAGGTGAGCTTGGGAAGAACGAAGATATGTTAGAGTAAAAGATAGAAGTAATAGAGTTAGAAAGATAGCATGAAGAAAGCGGACAGGATTGCACACGATATTAGAGAGTGCAATACAAACTTTTTGGTTAGGTCGTGATCCGACTTAACTTCCCAGTCAGGTAAGTGAGTTAGGTTTGGGTGAGGTTTGCTATCACAAAAAAACATAAAATGAGGTTTGGGTTTTCGGTATTTTACTTGACAGAGTTGATCCAATTTCAGTAAAATATTTATTGAATTTTTGAGCTATTATTTGTAGTTCATACAAGCTATTGTTATCGACTTTCAGCATTTGTGGCAAAGAGCTTGAGCATGTTTTCTGTTTTCCAGTAATTTCTTTCAATACTAGCAAAGTGCTTTTTGAGTCATTTTTAACTTTATTAATTAATTTTGAATAGTAAGTTTTTTTTTTAATTTTTTCGGATTTTTTCGAAAAGATTTTTGTAATCTTTGTAAATTTTTTCGTTAGCTGGTGTTTTTGTTTTCAGATATTTTATGTATAGTTTTTGTTTAGTTTTGGATGATTTTTTGTATCCTTTGGTAATCCAGGGGTTATCAAAATATTTTGTTGTTAATGTAATAGTAAAAATTGGGAAATTAGATTCGTAAACAGAGATGAATGTTTTCAAGAACTTTTCATAAAGGTTGTTTGCGTTTTCATTAAAATTTAAATGTTTCCAAAGTAATAATGAGAGCTGATTTTTGAAAGACTCAATATTTGATGGTTTAAAAAAACGTGTTTTTATAACTTTATTTAATTTTTGTTTAGGCGGTTGGTCAGTGTTTATGGTTAGAAAAATATGAAAGTGGTCAGAAATATCTGTTTTTAAGATGCCCAATTTTATATCACTGTTGAACAAGTCTGTAGAAATAATATTATCCAGCAAAGTTGTTGAATTTTTTGTTATTCTTGTCGGCCGATTTATTAAAGGAATTGCACCAGATTCAAAAACTGCATCATAAAAATTTCTAACTTTGTTATCTTCATTGTAGTCAAAACAATTCATATTAAAGTTGCCAACTAGAAAGTTTTTTTTTTTCGTTGTTACCTTGCGCAATAACTTTTTACTGTAAAAATATGCTTTAGTTATCGCCCACGCCATCTGGCGGTCGATAACAACAGCTAATTACAATGTTTTTTTGTTCGTTGATTAATAATCTTAATTGTTAATATTTCTCCATCGGCGTCAGAAACACAAAGATCATTTCTACAACAATGCCTAATGTTTTCATGAAGGTAAATTAGAACTCAACCACCGCGCTTATTTATTTGTCTTTCAAGAGAAATCATTTCAAAATGAGAAAGATAAAAATTAGAACTTTTGTTAATTTCGTTTTAGTTAGCCCAAGTTTCAGTTAAGCAAATTATATTAAAAAAGTATTTAGTTTCCTCAAGTAAATTTTGGAACTTTTCAAAATTACAATTAATGCTTCTGATATTTACGCGAAGAATTATAATTTAATCATTGCTTTACTTAGTAACATTCTTAAATAGAATTCCTTTCAATTTATTTGGATAATAGTTAAGAACATTCGATTTTTGTATCGTGAAAGTAATTAATATCTGGGTCGGAGTTTTCGTGTAAAGAAAAAAATTTCGTTTCAAAAAAATTCAAGGCAACAGTTTCAAAGTCACTTATTAAAGCCATGGTTAGTTATAATAAATTGAAAAGGAGTTCTTTTTAAGAACAAACGCATTTACTTCCGATATTCTCTAGAAAAATTTTTATCATACTTTATAACTGCATACTTACCTTCAAGTCGCAGTTTTTTTACCTCTTCCCACAACTTTTTTCGGCTTTCGATTGTTTCTTTTGCGAAATCCTCATTGATGTATATCCCTGTTCCTCGCAAATTTTTTGTAGCGCTGAGTATTTTTGTTTTGTCTTGAAAATTTAATAATATAAAGACAACAGTTCTTGGTTTCTTGTCTTCTTTAGGTTGGACTACTCTATGAGCTCTTTCTATGATAATATCATAGTTAATTTTAAGTTGTTTTTTGAACATTTCCTTAACTTCATTTTCGCACTCGGCCCAATATTCATTTGATTTTTCATATATTCCGTCTATTCTTAAATTATCCCTTCAAGACCGGTTTTCTAAATCTAGTGTTTTTTTATTTAAATAATTTGTTTCTTTTTCATAACGCTTCATGATCTGACTTAATTTATCCGTGATGCTTCTTTCTTGAAAGTTAAGACTTTCTTTAAAATCGCGTAAGTTGTTTTCTATGCTCAAGACTTTTGATTTGTTAGCGTCTACTTCTTTTTCAATTTTATTTAATCGATTAGTGAGTATTTTTAAATTTGCACTAATTGTACCAGTAAAATTTTTTTCTTGATCTTTTAACAGGCGCTCCTTTTATTTTAAAATACTCTTTTTTTGTTCTTCGAGTTTGTTTGTAATTAATTTCTCGATATTTTTCAATGTAATCTCCATTATTTCTTTTTCTACTTTATCACGATTAAGTTATTTTTCAAAAAACTTACTAGAAAAAAGCAATAATCAAAAAACAAAAACTTTCAACAACTGAATATATTGAACAACATTACAACCAGAAAAAAAAAAAATAACTGAATATATTGAACAACTTTACGACCAGAAAAAAAATAAAAAAAACAACAACCAGAAAACAATAACTTTCAAACAACTTTCATCAACTGAATATATTGAATTATGAATATATTGATTATGTTCTTTATTCGTTTTTCTTTGGTGATTGCTTTGACAACTACGCATTAAAGAAAAGTAATCCTAAATCTAAAAGTAATCCTAAGTCTAACTAAACTCGACCAATATAAAGCTCCAGGTGAAAACGATGTGCATCCATGGGTTTTTAAAGAATGTGCCAGTACAGTACAGTACCATGCCCGCTGATAAAAATATTTTAAAGTTTATTCCAAGAAGGTTCCATCCGCAATACTTAGAAAATTTCTAACGTCACGCCCTTAAACAAAACTGGAAGTCGATTAAATCCGGCAAACTACCGACAAGTTACGCTCACGTCTGTACCGTGCAATGTCTTGGAAAGAATCATCCGAGACACAATTTTAAATCATTTATACAACAGCCTAAGTGGTCTTATTGTATAACAACAAAACAAATTTGTTAGGCATAAATCCTGTGTCACCAACCTTTTGGAGTCCATAGATTTCTGATTTGGAGTCCATAGATTTTGGAGTCCATTATTTCTTTATCCTTGGCAAATAAGCAATGTGTTGATATAATTGTTTTTGACTTTGCCAAAGTTTTTGATATTGTGCCGCGTCAACGTCATATCCACAAACTAAAAGCATTTAGGATCTCTGGAAAACTGTTTTGCTGGATTGTTGACTTTCTAACTAATCGAAAGCAGAGGGTTGTTCTTGATGAGTGTGAGTCTGGTTGGTCAGACGTAAATAATGAAGTATCACAGGGTGTCCACTTTTATTAATCCTTTATATAAACGATTTACCGTCAGTTATTAATTACTTTCCTTCTAAGTTGTATGTGGATAACTGCAAAGTTATTGCTCCATTAAAAGATGCTTCAGACAAGATACAGATTGATTTAATTGCTATTACTTAACGGTCTGAAAAATGGTACATTAGGCTGAACTAAAAAAATTGCAAAGTGATACATATGGGTAAAAAAACAACGCCCAAAATAAATATTAAATATTTAATGCTGCAACTTTAACTATCATAAACATTTTGTAAATCTAAAAAGGAGCATGGTCTCAGCATTACGGTTACGTCAAATTGCAAGTGAGATACACACGCTTCCGAAATTGCATCAAAAGCTAATAATATCTTAGGAAGGATGAAAAATTCATTCATCGGCAGAGAAGAAAAACTATGGAAGAAATTATATAAAGTTTATACCAGACTGTATTTAGAATTCGTGACTCTATCGTGTATTAATTATTCAAAATTAGCTGTAAAAAGCATTGAACGTATTCAAAAAAGAACTACAAAAGTACCTCGTAGCCTAAAAAATTCTGCTATAAAGATCGTTTGCACCTCCTTAACTTTAACACTTTAACAATTAGTTTTGATTGAATTAGTTTTGACAACTTTAAAAAAATAAAAAAAAAATTGACAGAGCTAACTGGCATGTTAAACAATTGACAGCATAACCTACGTATGGTCATCGTAAAAGCCTACGCCGAGAATTAACAAATATTTGTGAAATACGTTAAAATACTTTCACTAACTGAGTAGCGAGTCCATAGAACAATTTTTCAAATAATAATGTTCTACAAACTTTGGCAATTGCTTGTATAACCCATTACATTAGGTTATTAGATAAAAAAAAAACTAAATTATTACATAAAATGTACAATGCAATTATCTGCTTACACTGCAAATAGCAGGGCTTGAATTCATGCTCTGCTTGAGGAGAAATCACCTTGCAGTAAATATATAATACAACTGCACTATATTACTAAATAAGCTTAAGATTTTTTATTTTTAAATAAATTTAGCGTTGTGTAGTCTAAGGACGATCCCTTTTCCAATGTTATACGTATTTAGCAAATATTGCAGTTCTGGTTTTAATATGCATGCCGCCAATTTTTAACTACCCAAAGCACTAATTTATATTATTCAAACTACAAATTACGCACAATATAATAATTTAATAATAGCTAAATTTATTTTTAGGGAAACAAAGTGGAATAACTTAAAAGTGAATCTTCATTATATGTACAGTAAAGACAATATTGATTGTTATGTTAACAATATTATCAAGTACAAACTTGGAGGATTTAAAAGAAATGAGTATGGCAGTGAATATAAATTTCTTCTTAACAACAAATTTGGAATAGGTAATAATTCGCATTACGTTCTGTACTCGGGAGCTATAGATATTGCTAATAAGCTTCCACTAGATTTTTTCTTTGAAAAAACAAAACAACCTGTTAATGAAAACGATGATCGTAAAGATGTTTTTGATGAAATAGTGCCGTTAATGTTATCCGAAACAAATTGCACAGCTAAAATACTATTTCCTTACAATGTTACTGGTATTCACTGGGTTACTAACGAAATCGTTTTAGCTAAATCCAATAGTAATGTTTCAGTAATAATATACACTCACGATCCTTATGGTGGTGGAAAATTATCAAAAAAACATTTTAGCATACTTAACGTTTGTATAAACAAATCTTTAAAAAATAGTGGTTTGCAGGTAACATCAGTAACCAGCTTGTCAAGTCCGTTTACTAATGCAAGACAAACTATAGCAGATGAAACATCTTGCGGTATAATTGTTGCTCAAGAGATAGTTAAAAGGATAACCAATAATAGTCTTAGCATATCATCACCTTTTCCACAAGGTGCAGAACAGTTACGCCTATCACAACTTATTTTTCTAAATGAACATTTAGGAGAAGATAATCCTAACTTTCAACTTTTTAAACAGCAAGTTAGTTTAGTGGAAACTCGTTTAGAAGAAAATTCATCTACAACCCATTTAGAATATACTGCGAGACCAACAATAGAAAAAAGACTAACAATAGAAGAATTAAGAGAAAAAGTAGAACAGGTTGTCAATTCAGAAGAACAAAACAATGTCAAAGTTGATCAACTAAAGCAGCTTTTAAAAGAACAATATAAACTTTTCATTCACCAACTAGCGTATAAAAAGAGTCTAGAAGAGCTAAAAGATTTGGTTATTGTCTTAAACGATTTAGGCTATTTTACCATTAAATTAGGAGAGTTGAGTGGGGAGCTGGGATATTATAACGAGGCAGCAGTATTTTATCAATATGTCATAACTATATTAGATGAGAGACTAAACAAAAAGTTAATAAGTAAAGAAAATAAAAATGAATTTATTATATATGAAAAAATAAATCCACATCAACAACTAACTCATATACAACAGCTAATATTTTTAAGAATTGGTGGAAATCTAGAGAAAATGCCAGTTATTCAAGATGAAGTACAAACTAATAAACATAAATTATTAGCATTGCGAAATAAAGCTGATAAAGTGATACAAAAGATAGAAGATTATTACCAGCAGAAGAAAACGAATTTTCAAAATGAAAAAGAAAACTATCAGGAGTTATATGTAAGCACTGCAAGAGCTTTGTTTAAAGATATAGCTTATGAAATGAAAACGTTTTTATTTAAGTTATATAGTGACAGTGAGCAGCAAATTTCTGTAGCCCCTCCTTGTAAATACTCAGTAGTTGGACTTGGGTCAATGGCACTAAAGCAAATGACACCGTATTCAGACTTAGAGTTTGCTATTTTGACGGAAAACGAGGATTGGAAAAAAAGTAGTGATCCCAAGATAAAAGCGTATTTTGAGAACCTAAGCCACTTGGTAAACTTTAAAATAATTAATTTAGGAGAAAGTATTATTCCTAAATCTAAATACGGTTTAGATATGGAACATCTAGTGCACAGAGCAGTTAACTTTGATCTAGGAGGAAAAACACCTTTAGGAAGAATTGATAAAGACAAACCATATGAGCTGATAAAAACAGTTGAATGGATGATGCATTATGTACGTAATGAGGAAGATAAAGCCAGTCATATTGATAAGAACCTACCATATATTCTAGAAAATGTTTGCTATGTGTATGGAGAACAAAAGCTTTTTAATGACTACCAAAGCATGGTTTCAGATTTTCTGCATAATAAAATTGAAGATAAAAAATATGGTACACTAAGAAACTGTGAAATAAGAGCCATTAAACTATTAATAGAGGAAGCTAAAGAAATTGATTATTCTAAAGTTAACATTACGTCTATACCCCCGATATCTGATTCAAAAGAAAATTTTAAAGGCTTAGATAAACCAAAAGGTGACCTAGGCTTATTGCATCCTAAATTATTTGACAATGAAGGTAGATTGTTTGAAGTTAAGAAAGATATTTATAGATTGCTTGACCGTTTAGTGTATAATCTTGGTCTGTACTACGGAATTGAAGGAGATAGTAACTGGGATACAGTTGATAAATTAGAGAAGCAAAAAGTTATAAAAATAGAAGCAGCAGTTAATCTAAAAACTGCTTTAACTTTTGCTACTACTCTGAGATTAAAAACTTATTCACACCATAAAGCACAGCAGGAGGATATGTCGATATTTGCCGGATCAGCTGAAACTGAGTCTGAAATTCAAGAACAAGCTAAAAAAATATTCCATCTGGCTAAAAAAGATTTAATTGAAGATGGTGGATTGTTTCAATATTTTTATACCGCATTACCTTTATATGAAAAATTAAAAGTTTTTTGTAGCAAACATAAAACATTAAATGATTTAGAGAAAAAAACATTTTTTTTAGATTCTGTGTTTTATAAAAATGATTTTGTTACTAAAGGTTTTATTTACTATAGGTTAGCACAATATAATAAAGCCAAAAACAACTTAGAAAAATCCTTAAATGATCTTAATGATAATTTGAAAGTGAGAGTAATTTTAGGACATATATATAACAGTTTTGGTAGTGCCGATCAGGCTATAGAGCAATTTGAATATTGTTTGGAAAAGCAAATAACTATTAACCAAGACCAACTTAATCCGGATGTTGCTGTATTTTTGCTAAATCTAGGGTTATCTTATAATGCTAAAGGGCAGTATGATCAGGCAATTGAGTATTATAAAGAGTGCTTAGATATGCAAAAACTCATCTACCAAGACCAGTCTAATTCAAATGTAGCTGATACTTTAAATAATCTAGGATCAGCTTTTTATGGAAAAGGACAATTTGATGAGGCAATTAAGTTTTATAAAAATAGCTTAAAGATGAGAAACTTAGTCTACCACGATCAAACTCACCCTAGTATAGCTAATTCTTTCAATAACCTAGGTGTAGCTTATCGTGCTAAAGGACAATATGATCAAGCAATTGGGTATTACGAAAAGATTCAAGAGTTTTACAAATTCATCTATAGAGAAGAACCTCATTTTGATGTTGCTGCTTCTTTACATAATCTAGGGACAGTATATAATGCTAAAGAACAATATGATTTGGCAATCAACTGTTTTAAAAAGAGCTTGAAGACATTTAAAATCATCTATAAAAAAAAACCACATCCAAAAGTTTCTGATTCTTTAAATAGTCTAGGCACAGCTTACCATCTTAAAGGATATTATGATCAGGCAATTAAGTATTTCAAAGAGAGCTTAGAAATGCAAAATACTATCTACCAAAACCAACCCAATCCAAGAATTTCTATTTCTTTAATTAATCTAGGTTCAGCTTTTTATACAAAAGGACAATATGATGAGGCAATTAAGTATTATAATGATAGTTTAAAAATGAGAAAACTAATTTATCTAGATAAACCCCACCCTGCTATTGCTGATTCTTTAAATAATCTTGGTGCAGCTTACAATGCTAAAGGAGAATATGACGAAGCCACTAAGTATTATAAAAAAAGTTTAGAGATAAACAAAATTATCTACAATGAAGAACCTCATTCAAATATTGCTAATTGTTTAAACAATTTAGGAAATGTTTACAATGCTAACGGACAATATGATAAGGCAATTAAATATTATGAAAAGAGTCTTGTAAAACTCAAACTCATCTATAAAGTAGAACCTCATTCTAATGTTGCTGGGTTATTAAATAATCTAGGAATTCTTTATAATAGAAAAAGACAACACGATCAGGCAATTAGCTATTATAAAGAAAGCCTAGAGATGTACAAACTAATCTATAATGAAGAACATCATACAAATGTTGCTGATTCTTTAAATAACTTAGGGAACGCTTATAATGCCAAAGGCGATTATGATCAGGCATTTTGCTACTATAAAGAAAGCCTAAAGATCTACAAACTAATTTATAATCAAAAACCTCATCCGAATGTTGCTTCTTCTTTAAGTAACTTAGGAAACCTTTGTAATGCTAAAGAAAATTTTGAGCAGGCAATGAAGTACTTAATAAAAAGCTTAGATATGCAAAAACTGATTTACAAAGATCATTTTCACCCAAGCGTTGCTGATTCTTTAAACAACTTAGGATTTGCTTATGGTGCTAAAGGAGAATATGATCGAGCAATTAAGTGTTATGAAGAGAGTCTTAATATATACAAGTTTATTTATAAAAAAGATTCTAATTCAAACGTTGCTGATTCTTTAAACAATCTAGGGAACGTTTATTATGATAAGATGCAGTATGATCAGGCAATTAGGTACTATGAGGAGAGCCTAGCGGTATACAAAGCAGTTTATGATAAACAACCTCATCTAGATATTGTTGATTCTTTAAATAATTTAGGAAACGTTTTTAAGGCTATAGGACAATATGATCAGGCAATAAAGTATTTTGTAGACAGCCTAGATATGCAAAAACAGATTTACAAAAATCAAAACCATCCTAGTATTGCCCGTTCTCAAAATAATCTAGCGTTAGTTCATTGTGCTAAAAAACAGTATGACCAGGGAATTAAGTTTTTTGAAGAGAGTTTACAGATATACAAACTGATCCACAAAAATGATCCTAATCTAAGTGTTGCCGATACTTTAAATAACATAGGGACTGCTTTTAGTGCTATAAGACAATATGATCAGGCAATTAAGTACTTTGAGGAGAGCCTAGATATGAAAAAATTTATTTTCAAAGGTCAACCTCAAAGCAGTATTGCTAGATCTTTAAATAATTTAGGGTTAGCATATTGTGCTAAAGGACAACATGATC